GCATCCGTGAACGTGGGAGTCTGCACTGACCGTCGGGGGCCCCAGGGGGACTCACGTGGCACCAACCTTGACATCGTGCAGCAGAAAATGTCTTTCCGTAAAAGCCCTCTGGCCACCCAGCATGAGAGGTGTCCGGGGCGCTTCTCCTGGGACATACCTGCTTTGTCGCCCTGTGATCATCTCTCTCCTCCCCTCTCCTCCCCTCTGTTTTCTTTCCTCTCCTTCCCACCTCGAGGTGAAAAAAAAATCCCTTTCATTTTCTCAGATGGGCCAGTCCGAAGCCTACTTCCTGTCCCTCCCTGCGACCTGCGGTCAGCTCCTACCAGAGGGGCTGACCATGCAGTTGGTGGAGCCGTCCGCCTGTTCTCTCCCTTCCCTTGCCCCAGCTTCCTTCCCGAATTCCCTCCCTCGCCCCCTTCCTCAAGCTGAATCAACCAACGGCGGCTTCCTGGAGGAAGCGAACTTAAGGGATATAACTCAGAGACTGTCGCGGAGAAGGGGAAACCAGATCCTTTTTTCCTCAGGTGTCGGTGGCAATCTGGTGGCCATTCAGACCAGCCGCATCTCCACCTACCTGCACCTAGGGAGCACCCCTGGGGTCCTGCCGTTCCGGATGAAAAAACTCTGGCCTAACCCTTGTTCCACTTTCTGCACATCAGGTGAGTCTGCTGTCTTCAGACCAGTAGAAATCGGTGTCGTTGGAACGTGGCAGTGGATGCCGGGTGCCTCAGCACACATCACCTGCCGGGCCCGGCTCCTCTTGCCGGAGACCTGCCTCTCATTCATTCATTCACGCAGATAATAATATTTATTGAATATCCGCCAGGCACTGGGTGTCACGTTGCAATGGGGAATCGGAGGCGGCTGATTTCTTGCCCTCAGAACAGACGAGCGCGTAGTTACACCTCATGTGTGTTCCAAGCCGCCTTCTTTAGATCTTAGCAATAGAAGTTGGATTATGGTATGTAGTGGTGTGGATTTCCTAGGGTTTATGCTATTTGGGGTTTGCTAAGCTCCTTGAATACATAGATTTATGTCTTTTGCCAAATGTAGGGAATTTTAAGCCATTATTCATTGTTTGAATTCTCTCTCAGATCTCTTTCTCCTTTCCTTCTGATACTCTAACGACATGACTGTTGGACCTGTCGTTACAGTCGCGCAAGCCCCTGAGGTGCTGTTTAATCTTTTTTTCAGTCTTTTATTCTCTTTTTTCAGATTGGCTAATTTCTATCATCTTTCCTTCAAGTGGACTGATTCTTTCCTCTTCCCTTTCCATTCTGCTGTGCAGCCTGCTGAGCTGTTTGGGTTTTGTTGTTGTTGTTATTGTATTTGTTTGGTTTTAAAATTTCCACTCGGTTCTGCCTTCATCTTCTATTTTCTGAGACTTTCTATTTCTTTCATTGTTTTCAAGACTTTGTCATTGCTTGTGGAAGCATTTTTTTTTTTTTTTTGAGATAGAGTCTCACTGTGTCGCCCAGGCTAGAGTGCTGTGGCGTCAGCCTAGCTCACAGCAACCTCCAACTCCTGGGCTCAAGCGATCCTCCT